TACCCTAAGAGAAACTGTAGACTTTGGGTGATTGTGATGTCACAGTGTAGGTTCATCAAGTGCAACAAATGTACCACTCTGCTGGGGATGCTGATAATGGGGGAGGCTGTTTATGTGTGAGGGCAGGGGGCATATGGGAAGTCTCTGCACTTTCCCCTCAATCCTGCTGTGAACTTAATACTGTTCCCCAAAAAATTAATCTTTTTTATAAAAAAGTAGTTTCTCCCAACAGCCTGCAAGCCTCACACCCTCAATAATACACTGGCCCAAGAGAAGCTAATTTATAAAGGGTCACTCAGGTAAGAAAAAACAGAAGGAATCTAGAAACCCAATCTTCATACTCTTGGTTTGATATTCTTTCTACTTCATTAAAAGTGTCCATTAAAACATGTCTCTTTGTCATTAAACCTACACAGCATCAAAGGGGAAAAAACTATCCCACTCAGAACCCTCATACACTCCTGGTGGGAATGCAAACTGGTTCAGCCACTATGGAAAACAGTATGGAGATTTCTCAAAAAACTAAAAATAGAAATACCATATGACCCTGCCATCCCACTACTGGGTATCTATCCAAAGAACTTGAAATCAGCAATTCAAAGAGACTTATGCACCCCTATGTTCACTGAAGCATTATTCACAATAGCCAAGATATGGAAGCAACCTAAGTGCCCAGAGAATGATGACTGGATAAAGAAGATATGGTGTATATATACAGTGGAATACTATTCAGCCATAAAAAAATGACAAAATTGTCCCATTCACAACAACATGGATGGACCTTGAGGGTTAAGCAAAATAAGCCAGATAGAGAAAGACAAACACCGTATGATTTCACTCACACGTTAAAGACAAACACACACATGGACAAAGAGAACTATTTACTGGTTACCAGGGGGAAGGGGGGGTCAGGGGTGGGCACAAAGGGTGAAGGGGCACACCTATCAGATGACTGACAAATAATAATGTACAACTGAAATTTCACACTGTTGTAAACTATCATAACCTCAATTAAAAAATAAATAAATAATAAATTTAAAAAAAATTTTTTAATTAAAAAAAAATTTTTAAAAACTATCCCATTCACAAATAATTACTGAATGCCTACTAAGCTCCTAACACCAGTCTAGGAGCTAGAAATATAACCATAAACAAGAACAACACAATCCTTGCTTTCATGTACTTTAAATTTTAATGGGGAGAGAAGGCATTAAACAGCTGCTTTAATTAGATAATACATATAAAGCATTCAGAACAGTGACTGGTATATAGTAAGTGTTCAATAAATATTAGCTATTGTTAGCAATATTACCTCTATAAGGTAATCAGCCTTATACATACTAAAAAAAGCAAACCTTTTTATTCATTTAGTTCTCTAAAAATCAAGAGATTCCTTAGATGTACTAAATGTCCTTATTTTTGATCAGCAGGCCATCTTCTAGAGAACTGACCCCTCTCCCCTATCTATTTCTTTTGGGGCTATCCAGAAGCGGACAAGTCCAGTCGAATTTCCTTACATAGGAATCTGAATCACTGGAAAGGCAGCAGATGAGAGACACCCAGAAGTTCAGTTCACATGGCTGAGCTCCACGTGGACCCATCTCTGCCAGCACTACCCTGGCTCCTGTCCTGCCTGAGGCCCGGCTATCCAGCTTGTCTTTCAGTTCTATCCTTCCAATAAGTCTCTTTTTCTTGCTTAAAACAGCCATAATTTGTGTTGCTTACAAAGAACCCTACTTGGTACAGTTGGGTAATGTAGATCATTCTACACAAAGGAGTGTTCACGACCAAACATAATTGCCAAAACTCATCAAACTTTACACTATGAGTGAATTTTACTGTTTGGAAAGTATATACCTCAATAAAACTGGGGAGGAGTGGAAGGAGTATTTAATTTAAAAGCATAAATAGCACATTTATAAAAAACAAAATATTTATTTAAAAATATGTATTTATAATAAAATGTTTTTAGGTTATTATTTTCATATACATTGATTTTATTATGCTCTATGGCTAAAGAACTTATACAGGAAACACTTAAGATGGCCCATTTTAAAGTAGTCCCATTTAAAGTCAAGCTGCACTGACTGCAGTGACTCAAGAATAAGGTTAGCGAATATCTAAAAACTATGTCTTGCTCACTAGTGCAATAAAGCTCACAACATCCATAATGATCATATCTTGCTTTCAAGTTTATTGACAGCACCCTACAGTATTCTGCTTAATTATTTGTTTTGCTTATATTTCCACTCTCTATTTAGTCTTACTTTGCAAGCAGCCTATATCACAGCAGGAAACTCCTTCAAAATGCAAACCTCTCCATCTCCGGGAAAGACTGAAATTAGGACAGCCACACTTGTTCACGTTTTACAAGAATTTAAGAACTGCCTTAGTTGGTCATACCATGCTCCATTCACTAAGCAATCTCTATGACAGGGGCTACAAGGAACACAGGAAAGAACATGGTTGTCCTACTTGCCACCAATCTAAAAGCCTAAAGCACATGCCAAAATACCTTCAGTCACCTTAATAAATCCACACTGGATGTTACTCATTAGTACACCCTAATCACTTTTGAGACATTTTATATTTTAATGTTAGTAAAACATACTAAAATAGAAGCGAAATAACGAAAAAAGTAGACTTTGAACATCCAAGTCGCATGTGTATAGATTTATATGATAAACTCCACATATATTTCCTATCACTGTCATATTTGCAAACAAATGATTCACTTCAATTTTAAACATTACAAAACTCAAACTTTTGTTCTCACAACTTTCAGATTTAGTCACTTTATAACAGATACCCTTTATCTAGCAACTTCCAAAATTAAATTCAAAATTGTCACCTGCTTCCAGTAAAAATCTGATCCCTGATCTCCCAAAAATCGAATCAAATTTATAAGTTTTAAAATAATTTCCTAAAAAGTATCCTATTGCATGGCCCCTGGTAGCCGGCATAGGTAGGTACCACACACAGCCAACCAGCACCAAAACCAAATTTAAACTACTCCAATTCCTCTTAAATTCAATACTGTGTGTCTCCCAAGAGTGTTTCAAGCAAACAGAGCTGATCTGGTTCAACTTGATGTTTTAACTCTCATTGCTTCTTCCTCTGAGTTTAGGAAACAAACAATATAAGTAACTCAAGTTTCACCAGTGTCTGTGTAGAAAACCGAAAGTAAAATACATCTAAACAAAAACCTTGTTTTGCAACATTAGTATTCCAGCTTCCCAGCCTCTTTTCTTCAACTTAAATTTTAATTACCACGTGAGTTTCCATTTCTACAACAGGAACCAAAATATTTACAAGATAAAAATGAGACAAGCCCAACATTCACCTACCCAACATTTGGCAATCCAACAATACCAATTTTCAAGGAGGTTCCAAATCTTCCAATGATTGGGGGTGGCTTAATTCCATCACCTCCCTTTTTGGGGGGCATCTAAAATGTCAAAACAAACATATATATGAACAAAACTTTTTACTGATCCCATCAACCAAAAACACATTTCATCACACAAAACACATTATTGAATTACAGATTAAGAATAAAACATACTGTACACATCAATCACAAAACTGATACTTTATTTTTCAACAAAGATAAAAACAAAAAAGTTCTGATTCTGATAGTTGTCAAAGCAGTCACTCCTGAGAAGTCCTGGAAAGAATGATCTAAAAATATGTGGCGCCAGAAATCAAAAATAAACTTAAAATTTAGCTGCAAATCTTCCATCCAGACTGTTCACAAAACATTTTACTTCTTAACTTGACATACGGTTATTCGAATGAAAGCATTTGGAAGTAGGAGCACAGATAAGAGTCAAAGAAAATCCATTCTAGAACCACCAGCAACCAAGTCACCTCCCACCAAACCATTCCTCTTATCTGGAACCTGCTCTTTCCCATTTCCGCTACACACACCATTTTTCACATGGAGGAACACACGTCCCGATCAAGGTTTTTCCAACCAAGTCTGTTCCACCCTTGGCACTGTAGGTACGACTCATCAGTCTTGATAAGCAACCTTAGCAATCTACAGTCTCATTATTTTTAGTCGTAAATGAACCCACTAACTCTTTTTACTTACAAGTCGAAACTTTCTCGGTCCCTGCTAACCTGGCTCCAAATTCCTCAGTGCAGAATTAATCCCACTTTACTACTGCAAACTGAACTCACGAGGACTGCCAACCTCACGTTTTATAAGCTGAGCACTAAAGCTGTCCCTTGTCTTCTGGCTCCAGGCGAACCTCGTGGGGCCACGCTGAGGCCCTGCTCATGAAGTGATCTTCCAGCCTCTGGTCCTTGACCCCGAGGACCTGGGATCTCCCTTTTCAGAGTCTTAACTCACACCTGTTCCCAGCCAAAGCCCAGGCCTCCGAAGCACAGCTGCACGAGGAGAGCCCCTCCAGTCCTCTGGCCTCCCACCGAAGGGCGGCTGGCCGCCCAGCCTAAGAGGTCCCCACCCAACCCCTTCCCCCTCTGCACTGGGCCACTGGGAGTCCTGGCCTCGGGAGAAGGCTTTCCCAGAGCGTGCCGGGGTGAGGCGTGGGCCGCCCTCGGGACGCGCGGCCTAGTCCAGGACGCCTCATTCATCCAGACGCCCCATGCCGCCCGCTGCCCTCGCCCCAGCCCGGCCACCTGGCTCTGGCTGACGCCGGCCTCACAGCAACGGGCGGGGGCGCCGAAGACGCGGCAGGGAGCGCGCCCGCGGACTCCCCGGGGGCCTCACCGTGCTCTGGGCGGGCGATGACACGGGGTCCCAGCGGCAGCGGGAGACCAGTCCTGCCGGCAACGGGAGGCGGGGAGGAAGGAGGAGAGAGCGCAGGGCCAGCCCCTCCGCCGAGCGGCACGCACGACGGCGGCGGAACAGGCGGGCCGGGCGCCGGGCGGCACCT